AAAATGTAACTGGCTTAATTAAAAGAAAAAAGCAGTTTCCTCATATACCAGTATATGGTCTTCTTGAAACCAAATATTTATTATATAATTTAATTTCCTAAATAACTAATACATAATAATTGGTTTTATATTTAACTTATATATTTGATAAGCAATTGTATATTTACAAAATGATTAAAAATATAACGTAAATGTTCATACATATTACATAATATTTAACACGATGATCAATCATAATTGTGGTACATTGAATTTTACAAATACTAATTTAGTACTAATATTAAATTTTACTAATTAAAATCACAGTCCTACTCAAGTTAAAAGTAAATAGGTCATAATGATTATAGTATAAAAAAATACATGATATAATTGAAAACTTTTTTTAAATAATTACATATATTATAACAATATAGAAAAATGTTACAAGCACTAACTAAAAAATAAAAATAAAGCANATAACAATATAGAAAAATGTTACAAGCACTAACTAAAAAATAAAAATAAAGCACATTAAAATTACAAAAAAATATATAAAAACATGTTAAGAATATAATTCTAGTGATATAACTACAAATATAGTTATAATTAAAAGATTATTGGACTTTACTGAACAAAATAATATTTATTCATGTATAAAACAGTAGATAATTAATAAAAAGATACAGCAACATCAATAATCTTCATCATTGCAAATTAACATAATGTGTAGAATTTGCATGTTCTTTTGACACAACACATTAAAAGTTCATTTCTTCTTTATTAGATTTAATTAATTAATTTAATATTAAATGTACAATTTGAAATAGCATTAATATTGTAATATATCAATATTATGATTGTTTTTTAATATTATTTTTTTTATGAAAAGCTATTTTAGACCAACAATATGTTTTTTGAAATACGAAAAAAGATATTTAAAAGTTAAATTAAAATTAAAATTCTATTAAATAAGAATGACTAGATTTTCCTTACATATTCAGATGTTGATTTTAATTATTGGCAGTAGTAAGAGCAAAAGTCTCTTTAAGCAACTGTTACATGTATAGTTGAAAATTGAAACATTTTATTTTATTATCGCAAACTAATTCAATATGTAATAGGTAATAAAGTACAAATTAATATTGTTATATCTTACTAACAATTTCAACTTAGTGTAATGGTTTTGAGTACCAATAAAAATAAATACTTAACTTCAATAATTTCAGTAATTTTGTAGCTAAATTGTATTTAAAAATAATAGATGATCATTTACATTGCTATGGTTGCTAAAAGTACGGTTATATCATCTGGTTTTCCTCCTGTAAACATAGTAAATAGTATATAAAATACTAAATTCAGATATCATAAAAAAAAATACTTTCTGAATAAATATTCATTAGTGTTCTAAAATACCTGTCATACACCATATATTAATAAAAGAGATTCTACATGAGTCAACAAAGATATACTTTCTAAATAGTTAAAAGTAAGCCTAGTACGAGTTTTAGTTTAAATAAATAAAGTAGATTTTAAAGTTTTCTCTCCAATAGTATTCAACTAAGATTTAACCTTTGACCAATTTAGAGAATCTTTCTATAAGTTTTCACTAAATATTTATTCAATTTTTACTTTGAGTTAATTACTGAAATTTTATTTTTTAAATTGGGAGTATATTTATCATAACCTTAAGATATGAATGTCAATTTCTACTAATATGATTATTAAAACACATTTGTTAAAGTTTGGAATAAAAGTAAAAAAAATTATTCAGGTAATTAAATTTTTTTTATGTATTTTCTACTGATTTGCTGATTTCAATTAAAAAGTCAAAATGATTAAATAGTTAATATTTATCAAATAACATATAAAGAAATAAAAACTATCATTCAATGATTCCAGAAATTATAATTAAGTAAAATCGAAAGAAAGCTATAAAAAATTTGTTTAATAGTAACTCATGCTTTAATGCATCAATGTAATAATACAGAACATTTTTTTACAAAACACTACACAGTTCCATAGTTACTATCAATGGTATTCTTAACAAGTATACATCTCTGAATTATAGTGTATTTTATTTTAACTTACCAACAGTATTAATACCATTAGCTTGAGCAGCACGGGCAAAAGGTGATAAAAAAGATCTATCAAATGCCAAAATTCTGGCCATCCATGCTATTGTATTAGCTGCACATTGTAATTTAGTAGGATCACGCACACCTTCAACTTGACTTAGTTCTTTTAACAATAAATGATCTGGCACATTGTCAAATACTCCATCAGTAGCTAATAAGATAACATCTCCATTTTCAACAGCAAAATCTGATGTATCAGCTGAGTCTGGACTATCACTAAGAACTTGACCACTATGTGTAGGTGGTGGAACTGATAATTGATAAGGGGTGTTAAAATAATGTTGTTGTTCTTCTGACCGATGTACAACATGCCCACCTCGTACTACCATAAAACCACTATCACCAATATTAGCTGTGTATATACTGCAAGTCTCTTTGTTTAATACAACAACACATGCAGTACTACTTCCTGTAAATAATTTTAACTTTAAGTAATAAAATAATGTAGAAGTAAATTAAAATTGATTTATTTTATAAAAAGTATTAACTGATTCAAATAGAATTTTTTTGTACTTTAACTCTAACCTAAAATAGGTTGTTTGTTTTCTAACAACTCATAATAACTCTGAGCTAATAATTTATTAGGTTCATTGGGTATTATTTTTCCAAGTGACACTAGTCTTTCACAAGTTGTCATAAGAAAACTGGAAAATTCACCAGGATCTATACCATAATGACGCCAACCACCAACACCATCTGCAACACCTATAAAAAAATAAAATAGATACTTTGATTATTATTTTTATTTTTTTGTTATAATTATGAATAGTGTAGAAAAAATAACTGTAAATGTACAAGATAATATACTAAACCTTGTACTAATATGACCACCAAAATCAAAGCCTTTTTAATATATAAAAAAAAAATCAAGATAATGATTATGGCTTCAAGTAAAAAATATTATGACAAAAATGGGTTAGTTGCATAATTGTATTAATATTCGTGTAAGCTTTTTTGTGTAAAAATTTAGAAAGAGAAAATTGAATATTTAAGCCATACGATTGTATTAAAAAAGTGATAATACATAAGAGATAACAATGGTCTAAAGAAATTTTAAATTGGTCCTCTAAAAAAAAATCCACATTTCCACATTATCTATTTATAAATAGATTGAGGGTTTACTTTTTGATTAATCATAAAAATTACAAAAATATCAGTATATAAAATAGAAGTTAATGGTAAGAAATTTAAGTAACAGAAAATGTTACTTTAAGGCATAAATTTCCAGCTTAGTTCATTTATTTATATTTCTTAATAACATTTAAGAATGAACTAATTATAAAAAAATTTCATATTGAAATGTCCACTTTGTTAAAGTCAGGTATTATAAATTAAGGCTACTTCGTTAGTTTTAAAAAGTAATAATTAGCAGTAGGCACCAGGGAAACTAAATGGTACGATCCTTGTGGGGAAATACATCATTTATCCAGCAGTAAGATCATTATCAAGTTAAAAATTTAAGATAAAGGGGAATCTTATTGTTAGCATAATTATTTTCCCACTAGAAAGGTACCATCGGACAACACTAGTAAGCACTATCAAATAGTTTTGATTACCGAATATACTGGATAGTTTTTCTAAACTATTGAATGATTGTTTTAATTAAACTAACCTTGATTGAATAGTTTTAGACTATCAAACTGTCTGGTCAATTATTCAAAAATTATTATTTTAATAATAATTACCAGCGACATATCTAAAAATTTCTATACAATTAAAAACTACTTGGGGAAATATTCAAATATTTATATTTAAATGCAACTATTGAATGAGAATTTGCATGAAAACAAAATTATCGACATCAGATTACAAATATACTACATACTATTTAAAAACGGTAGCACAGTGGGGTCGCGGCATAGTGGAGACATTGCATAGTTGGGTTCAGTCTAGATTTAATCTGACAGTGATTAAAATCACTATCATAAGAAACGCTTCGATGCAAATCTGTAGATAGTGTTTAATTTTAAAAAATTGTTGGATAATTGCAAAAGCAACATCAACTTCTATTAAAATAAAATACAAAACCCATAATTATCATACAAAAATAGTATATTTTTCAATATGGTAGCCATTTGCGTATAGAAGATAGATCGTCGGGACAAATTTTTTTTTTTCATTTTGTAGTACATAAAATAAGCTTTAATTTTATATATGTTTAAAGGACGCAGTATTTCCGGAACATTTTCAAAAATTAAGTTGAAAAAGTTATTTTTTGTAAAAAAGTTACTATTTTAAATCCTCCCAGTGAGCAGAATAAGTGTTAGATTTTCAAAAAAAATTATATCAAATGAAAGGGAAATATCTAAGGTTTCAATACAAAAAAATATTATTTTTATTTGTTCATTTTTGAAAAAGTTATGGCAGTTTTAAGTACAAAAAACATCCCGATAAAATGTAATTTTTATCGCAAACATTACATTTTTTTTTAAATTTTCGACAGCCATTTGCACATAGAAGATAAGATGTCGGGACAAATTTTTTTTTTTCATTTGATAGTATATAACATAACCTTTGATTTGATATATGTTTAAAGGACGCAGTATTTCCGGAACATTTTCAAAAGTTCAGTTGAAAAAGATCTATGTTTTTTACAATATTTTAAGTTTTGAACGCCCCCTATATAAGGGGAAATTGTCCAATTTTAATAAAAAGTATGTCAAATGAAAGATGTACTTATAATGTATTTAGAAAAAAAAAATTTGTGCTGATATATACATTTTTCAAAAAGTTATAGCATTTTTAAGTTGAAAATTTAAAATCGAAAATCGAAAATTTTAACACAAAAATAGTGTTTTTTTAACTACGGCAGCCGTTTAAATGTAGAAAAAAAAGTGTCGGGACAAATTTTTTTTTTTCATTTTGTAGTACATAAAATAAGCTTTAATTTGATATATGTTTAAAGGACGCAGTCTTTCCGGAACATTTTCAAAAATTAAGTTGAAAAAATTAATTTTTGTAAAAAAGTTGCCATTTTAAATCCCCCCCAATGAGCAGGTTAAGTGATAGATTTTCAAAAAAATGATATCAAATGAAAGGTAAATATCTAAGGTTTTAGTATAAAAAAAAATTATGTTGATTTGTTGATTTTTCAAAAAGTTATGGAAGTTTTAAGAAAAAAAAGTGAAAAAATTTCGAAAATTAGCGATTTTTAAATTTGTAATTTTTTTGGATATTTCCCCCATTTGCGGGGAACGAGGGAATTTTTTTCAATTTTTAAGGGTAATGTCTTCAACTAGATACGATTTGTGATCTTTTGACGTATTTTTGAAAGAAATCGGTCCTATGAGATCTGAGAAAAAGTGGCAACAGACATAAAAAAAAAAAAAAACACATCATAGTAAAATTAATACCTTCTCCGCTTCGCATCGAAGCTAAAAAACGACAGAATAATAAATAGTACAATGGTTGGGGTTTTAATAGTTTAATTACCAAATTTAAGTAATGAAAAAAATTTGTTTGTGTTGATAATTTTTGAAAACACGTCCACATGTAGAATTCAATCACTTTCAAATAGTTTGATAGATTTCATTCTGTGGTGCCCATTAATAGTAATCTTATGGCAACTTACCTAAAACATCATTTGCTTTTCCTCTTGCAGAAAACCATGCATCATCTCCAAATTTACCTTTAATAAGTGGATGTTTGCGAGATGACTCTTTAGGAAATCCACAAACAGCATATAGAAATGATGGTTCGCGTTTTTTATTTTGATGTTCAGTATTTGAGGGAGATATGTTAGTGAAACCATTCCACAATGCACGCGATATCAGTCTACCTGTAGTTACTATTTGCTGCATAATTTTAAATATCAGTCGTTATTGTGAATATACATTTGATGAAACAGAGGTTATTGCACCACATTGTTTAATATGAAATTTATTAGTGGCTTTTAATAAAAAAATAAAAAATTTATTAAAATTAAAAAATTAATTTTTACTTAAAATTAATACGTGAAACTAAATAAAACAAAACAAAAAGATATTTTTACAAAATTAACAATAAAATTTAAGTTAATTGCTCTAATAATTTGCAATTGAAACTTTTTTTTTCTTCTTATCACATTTAAACCTTATCAACATAACATAAAGAGAATTATTTAAAAAAAAGTGTCATATACCATGGTTATAATAGTTAAGTATCTTCATAGATTAAATTACAGTTACATAGACTGTCGTCTCAATATTGTCAATATTTTTCTGCTGTAAAAGTCTTTTTCATTGATAAATTTTGCGTATCGCTGTTGGATGATGAACCATAAAATTGTCTTAATTTTGTCGGAAGTATATTGAGCTGTTATATAAATTTATGAAGTATTCAGTTTAGTGCTCATATTAGTTAAACTACATTTTGAAGATTTTTACTTTATATTCTCATCAAATATGGCTCTATTATTAAAAAGGTAATCTTATTCTTTAATGACCTATTGTTGCATATTATTTCTTCATAGCGTATATTACTACAAAGATTTAGAACAATGCTTCAAAGTTTAAATGACTTAAAAAGTAATGACCCTGACATTTGTTTTCGAATTATTAATGTTTTAATTAAAATAATTGATAATATACTAAACAATCCACACCTGTATAAATTCAGAAGACTTTGTTTAAATAGTAATATAATTCAAAATGAACTTTTACCTTACATTGGTGCTATGGAATTTCTTTTAGAAATTGGGTTCATTGAGAATAATGATGTGCTAGTACTTCCTGATTATGTTGATCAATCTGCACTTGAAGGTTTCAAACAGGAGCTCTTACAAATTATTAAAATAGATGGTGAACCTATTATTAGTCTTGATAAAAATAACAAATTTCTTAATGAAATAAATTCCATTTCCTTTGATGTTTTATCTCATGAAAATAAAATTTTACAAAAAAAAGCTTTAGAATGTTTGTCAACAGAACAAGTCTCTCAATTTTCTATTATTAAAAACTCAGAAAATGATTCATTTTCTCATGAGAATAAAATGTTAGAATTAATGAAATGGTTTAAACAGTCATTTTTTAAATGGTTTGATGTACCCCATTGTAAGTATTGCTGTATTCCTACTAAATTTAAAGAAATAAAGCATGGTACAAAAGATTTAAATGTCAGATATGTGGAAATATATAAGTGTCCTAAATGTAATTGGACAACAGAATTTAAAAGGTTCAAACTCTGTGAACAACTTTTAATTACTCGGAATGGTAGGTGTGGTGAATGGGCTAATTGTTTTACATTATTTTGTCGAGCTCTTGGATGGGAAGCCAGATATGTTGTTGATCAAACTGATCATGTATGGACAGAAGTTTGGTCAGTAACTCAAGAACGTTGGATTCATTGTGACTCCTGTGAAGTTGCTTTAGATAAACCTTTGTTGTATGAAAAAGGATGGGGAAAAAAATTGTCTTATATTATAGCATTTTCTCATGAAGAAGTACAAGATGTAACTTGGCGCTATACGATTAAAAATGATGATATCTTAACCAGAAGAATATTGTGCAATGAAAATGATTTATTAAAAAAAATTTTATTGTTATCAGAAGCAAGACAACAAAATGTATCTTACATTAGACGTAAATACTTAGCTGAAAGACGTTTAAAAGAATGTTTTGAGTTATTATTTGGTTCAAAAAATATTGACACTGACAATTATAGTGGTAGAATATCTGGTGCTCTTGATTGGAAATTATCAAGGGGTGAAACAAGAATTCAACATTTTGTATGGACTCCAACACAAGTTGAAATTAGTAAAAAGAAATTTGAAATAAAGTATTCTACTGCTTTGGATCAGTACATTCACGATGGGCAGCTTATAAAAGGATGGCAGAATGGTGTATACTATGTTCATTCAATATTTCGTAAAGAAGAATTTGATTGGAAAAAAGTATATTTGTGCCGTGAAGAAAACTCTAATACAGCAAAAATTGAATGGATGTTTGATTTCACAGAATCAAACTTAGCTGTTGAAAGAATCACATTAATTTATTTATCCAGTCTATTCGAAACTGGTGATGTTAAATGGATATTAACTGGAAATAATAATTCTGTTGTGAATTTGTCTGTTATTCAAAATGTTCAAAGTGTTCATATTGATCAGTTTATTGGTTGTAACAAAGTAAAATTAATTGCAACTTTATTTGGGGGATCTGGTGAACATGCATGGCAGCACACTCAATTATTTAGACAAGATTCAGACTCAGAAGAATTTCCACTTCAAGTGTTAATTAATTTAAAATAATATAACTGCAATAGATTTGTTTATATGATTCAATGTGTAAAGTATAATAAAATAAATAATATATATATACATATGATTAGTGTTTAAGTTAAATTATGATTTAAATGAATTAAAAAATTTAATTTTAATATAATTACATAATGAATTTTTTGTATTTAGTTAATTAAATATTAAAGCTATTGTTAAATTAATAATTTTTTAATTCTAATTCTAATGGAAATATCCTATTTTTAGAATNTTTTTTAATTCTAATTCTAATTGAAATATCCTATTTTTAGAATTAAGTTTGTTAAATACTTATGTGTTTCATTGACAGCATTTCAATAGCCAAATACACTTTAATTTGAAAAATATTAAGCAATATACATTCTATAAATTTTATTTAAAATAATAAAAAAATACATTTCAAAAAAGATAAATTACTATTTTTTAATTTATATTTTCGTCTTTCAGTGTACAGTCATCTCTAATAAGACGATCAATCTTCAATAACTCTCCGATTATGTAAGTATTTTATAAGATTTGGAATTAAAAATATACTCGTATGTATTAAATATTTAAAATCACTCAAAACCAATAATGACAATGTTTACTATTTATAAATTCTCTGCTAAATATTTAAATATTTTAACTAATGTTTTACAATCTGGTATTGTATATAAATACTTGATTAATAAATAAAATTTAACTAGATTAAATAAAAAATTAAATTTATTACTTACAAATCCTCCTTAGGTACAACAAATGATTTTTGCTATGGTAATCACTACCTAACTTAGTTTAAAAATTTGGGCTTAATTGAGTATAGATGTTATAGGATCTATAAAAAACCTTAATTTAAGAAATTAAAAATTCAATTTTATTCGTATAGATTTTGGCATATTTCTTTGGTTTGTATCATGGATGTCCACAAAAATGTATCTCTGAGAGTACAAAAACGAATGACAATAGTTTAAGGCATGATCGAAGGGGTCTGAATGATGCATCTATATTTTAGCATTTTATAAAACGATATATCTACTACCTAGGATGTTTTTTACTAGATCAATAAAAATGTATTATTAATAAAAATTTGAAAAAATATTATCATTATAATTAAAGCTAAGGCATTACTGGCCATTGATTTACAGTTAAGCTAATTTGTTTTTTACAAGTGTTTTGTCTTTAGGATGTTCAGTAAGTTGTTGTTGATTCAAAGCCTGGTTCAAAAGTTACATGGTGATGATGGGAGATTAGATGTTCTTTGAGTTTCATATTTCTTACAAAAAAAGAGTACCGCATGTATGACATACTGAAGAGTCTTCTTTTACCTTATAATAACTGTAGCCTATCCTCATTCAGTTGATTATGACACATTCTCTTTTTGATAGTAAATGTTTTTTTTTTTTTAGTTTTGTTGTATTTGATATCCATTTCTGTTTCATTATTTCTTGGATTTCATGTCTGATTTCAATTTTTTTTATCATTATATGTGATTATATCAAATGTTGTTTGTAGTAGCAGTCTTTTTTGTGTATTTGTCTGTCATTTAATTTTCTACACTAAAGAGTGACCGAAAACTTTTACATATGATTGTTTAATTTATGTTTTTTAGGATTAGTAATTAAATTTATATTTTTCTTGCTAATTCATTATGATTTTCTAGGTGATTAACGTTTAGAATTGTAGATAGTGAATCACTAAGTATTGCTGCTTTTCTAATATTGTTATGTTGTATACTATTTAATTCTTTGAGAATATTGAGATAATTTGTGTTTCACAAATGGTCATCCCAAACAAAGGCTACTTCAACTTCTATTTCTGTTTTAGATGCATTAGTATATAATTATGCTTAATCTTCATACTTGTTTTTAAACATGTTGATAAACTTTGATCAGTGATGTTGGAATATTCTTTTTTAACATTTTATTGAGTTTTGTATTGATTTTTGTTATGTATTGCCATGATGAATTTTTTTTTTAGTGGTATAATTTTAGCCATTATTATATTTTTTGTTTAGAGTATATTGATTTTGTTTTTGATAGAGAGTCATTTTTAGAATGATAGTAATGTTTTATCTAATAGCAAAAAACACAAAGGTCATCTTTCTCGCCATTTCTACAATAGGAATTGATTCTAAGTTGTATAAAATTATATATAATACACTTATAATTAAATTGATATATATGCTCTGGTAATTAGATGTAGTTCAATGTTGTGGATGGTATCTATTAATTTGAGGTTTTAATTGCTTGTTGATGTAAATTAAATATAGAAGCTATACTCATGTTTCGACAACATTAGTAAATTATAGATCGACATTAGAGGTATAGAGTGATCTTTACAATTTGAATGTGATTGACAATTTGATTTGTTAATTATTGGCATTACATATTTTTTCAAGTTTTTAAGGTGAAGTTCCCATTTATTTTTTTGATAAAATTTTATGCCTAATTATTGTTTTGTATATTAAAGTTTTTGTTATCTCTTTTATGTATAAAGATTACGAATTATAATTTCTTGCCGAGAATGTGAAGTCTGGATTATGGGTTCACTTTTATATTTTATTAATGGTATTTTATATTTTTTGGATGTTTTTATTTTTATAATATATGCCAAAATCGTTTGCAAAAATACTAGCTTTGACTGGAAGGGATACATTTTCAATGATATTATTGCTACAAAAAACAGAGAGGGAAGAAGAACCTTATGCCACCCCATTTTCATATTTGTATTGTTTTGCAGTTTATTGTTTATTTTAACTTGACATGATTGGTTTCGAAGAAAAATAATCATGTGCATTAGTAAGTTGCCTTTGTTAAGAATATTTTTTAGTTTATCTATAATTCTTAGTCTTCAAGATATGTACTTTATTTATATGAGTCCGAAGGAATTGTTTAAAGGAGGTCTTTTCAACTTCGTTTTAGATGTGAGTGTTTTAGTGTGTGCTCTTTTACTTTTGAAAGCTGCTTTGTTAGTTACAATTTATAAATTTATGTAGAATTTTCACTAGAAGTATTAATTTTTAGTTTCGATGCGAAGCTGAGAAGGTATTAATTTTAACATTATTTTTTTTTTTTGTGTGTGTCTATTGTCATTTGTCCTCAGGTCTCACTGGACCAATTTCTTTCAAAAATACGTCATAAGATCATAAATCCTATCTAGTTGAAGATTGCCCTTGAAAATTGAACATATTTACTTCGTTCCCCGAAAATGAGGGAAATCTCCAAAAAAATTACAATTTTTATAATCGTTAAATTTCGTTTTTTTTTTCTTAAAACTTCCATTACTTTTTTAAAAATTAACAAATAAACATAATTTTTTTTTATATTGAAACTATATATATTTTTTTTTCATTTGAAATTTTACAACTTTACCACCTGTTCACAGGGGGGATTTAAAAATAGCAACTTTATTACAAAAAGTAATTTTTTCAACTAAAATTTTAAAAATGTTCTGAAAATACTGCGTTCTTTAAACATATATCAAATTAAAGCTTATGTCATGTACTATAAAATGAAAAAAAAAACCCAGGGGGTCAAGACAAAATAAAGTCCGAAATTTTTTTTTTTGTCATAATAAATATATTATCTTTAATTTAAGATATATATCAAAGTGTCAGTATTTCTGGAACACTTTCAAAAATTAAGTTGAAAATATTCTACTTTCTATATGCATTTTTATGTTTTAAACCCCCCCTGTATTAAGGAAAATGGTCTGATTTAAAAAAAATGTATGTCGAATGAAAGAAATATATAAATATTATTCCTTATAAAAAAATTGTATTGATACATACATTTTTATTTTAATTAGACAATTTCCCCTTATTCATGGGGCGTTCAAAACATGATTTGTCCCATCACCTTTTCTTTTATGGGAAATGGCCGTCGAATTAACAAAAATGTAATTTTAATGTAAAAATCACTGTTTAACATGAAATATTTTAATAGTGAAAACTGCCATAACTTTTTGAAAAATTGAAAAAAAAATCCCATAATCAAATAAAAAGTAGCTTAACCCACTTTCTCCATACAAACAATTGAAATCTTTCATTTCTAATATTTTTAAAATATTTATTGTCAAGTTAGATTTGATATGATAAAAGTATTCAACTACAAAAGTAATTAATTTTACTTTGTAATTTATTAATTTTTTAATTCTTTTTGTGTGTGCCACTACCAGTATATAATATTCCAAATTTTTTTTAACTTGTTGCTATATAAATCATAAATCTAAAAATAAATGATTTTTAGTTTTATCTAAATTTAACAATGGATTTATACAATTATAATCAATTTTTATAATATGCTCAATTGAGTAAATCTTTTTAGCAACTTTTTTTGTATTGGTTTTTTTAGTTAAAGTAAATCATTAGACTTAATTCAGTTCTACATATTTTAATTGTAGAACTAACACCAAAACTTAATTAGAAATGATTCTTATGATTTTTTTTTAAATGATCTATTACGATAAAAATACAAAAAAATCGAGCTTTTCTGATTAATTTACTGTAAATAGTAATTATACAATTTCCTGACTGCATAGTAATCTTAATAATACCATTTTTTTCTATTTAATGATGTCAATTTCAAACTTGCAAGTTGAGCTAAAAGTTATGGCAATAAATTCATTTTTTTTTTTTATTACAAACTTTCACAATAAAAGTAGGTTAAAAATGATTAATCCTCCAATTTCTTAAAATTAAATATTATCTACAGATTTGCATCGAAACATTTCTTATAATAGTGATTTTAATCACTGTCAGATATCATCTATACTTGTCCCAACTATGCCATGCTCACACTGTGCCACGACCTCACCGTGCTACCTTTTTTTTTTATTGTTAATATAGATACCGAAGCATAACAATGCAAGTTAAAAATGCTCAAGAAGTTCAGTACAAACCTGGTGAAACTCATGATGAAAAAAATTCTCGTCTTAATAGACCTATGTCTCCACATCTTACCATATACCAATTACAATTAACAACTATTCTTTCTATAACACATCGTGGAACAGGAGTTGCATTAAGTGGTCTTACAGCTGCTGCTGGATCAGGTAATTCCGAAAATTATAAAACATGATTGCTGTGAATTTATGGTAAAATGTCAGAGTTAATGAACTTAAATTTTTAAAATTAATTAAAAAGTTTTAATTATTGTATTTTACATAATAATAATTTATTTTAAGAAATATTTTATAATTGATCCATTTATTTGAAAATTATGTTTTTATGTGTATTGTTTTTGTAAGACTAAAGGATCTAACAAAAATACCGGTTGCAGTGTCACCGATATTATGAAACGTAATAAATGACAATATTTTTTCTGAAAGTTAAAATCTTTAAACAATTATAAAACGTAAACGGTTGTTCGGATAAAAAAAATTCTAAGAAAAAAATTGTTTGTAATTTTTTTTCCTATCATATTATCAAATCAAAAATAGTGGTTCCTATTTAAAAAAATTATAAATAAACATTTTTATCCCTGAAGAGATAAAAAAAAAATTATTTAACTTCATATTATTGTAGAGTTTTATAAACTTAATAATTTTTCTCTTTAAAAAAATTTTTAATTCTCAATAGTTTCTGAGAAAATAAGTGTCTTACCAGATTTCGATCACTCTGTTTATTAAAATCCACATGTTCTAATGTTTGATTAAGGTGAGTCTAGGTGTGAATTAACTGTAGTTACTGGTCCATTTATACTATGCAAGAAGTGATTTATTGTAATTATGATAAAAGTTCAGTATTTTTAAACTCGTCTTTAAAATTTGATAATTTTTTATTCTTTTTTTACTAAGTGCATCTTATCAAATACTTTCATTTGATCATCTTAGTTTTAATGCAATAATTTAATGATAGTTTAAAAATATTTTTTAACTGTTTTCTACTAGTTTAATATTTGAGACTTGTATTGTATTGGTTCAATTAATGTATTTAATATATATATATATACTAAAGTGCATATAGAAAATAAAAAATAAGTCTTTTTGATTTTCAATTGCTTGCTTTAAATTGAAATTCATAAGAGTATTTAATTTAAATTAAAATCTTATATTGTAGAACAATTGTGTACCCAAGATTTCTCCACGGGAAAAGATAATGTTAATTAATAAAAATTCATATAAAGATAATTTAAATGTCTCTTTTAGGTAATTTTTTTACCAAAAATGTTGGTTTTGTATGAATAATGAAGAGCTTATCCTTTTTAGTTCACATGAATAATATTATATAAATTTAGAGATTATAATATAATGTATTTTTCATTAATATTGAAGTCATTTAATTACTTTTAAAATCTGTTAGTTAATATTTGTATTATAGTATAATATAAATTTATAAAGTTTAACATTTTTGAATTTCAGTATTTCTATTTTATGATGTTCCAACATTTTTGGAATATGTGAGAGCTCTAGATATGCCAATAGCATGTCTTCTAGCAACTAAAGCAATGATTGCATTTCCATTCTTCTACCACTACTTAAATGGAATAAGACACCTAGTAAGTTGTCAATTTGTACGATTACAAAATATAAGTTGGATGATTTTATGATTAATATATAATTTTATGATTTGAGGTATGGGATGCTGGAAAATGCTTAACAATAAAGCAAGTTTACTCAACTGGATATGGAGTTATAGCTGGTACTATAGTTATTTCTATACTCTCTTTAATAATAAGTAATTAAGACCATAAATACTCTATAGTGTAAAAGATAATGAATTCTTTTGAATAAAATATTGTTACTCCTAAAATACAAATTTTTTTTTATGATTATCATATCATAATAAAGGGTCTTCAAACAATGTACCTGATTAAATTATTTAAAATATCTTTGAATAAATTCCAGATTCCTAAAAGCTTAAGCACATATATCATTAATATGCGTATAAAATGATAGAAATTTGACAAGTGTTATACCAAAATGTTTTATATTTTTATCTTTACTAATTAATTTTATGATTATCAAATAAAGAATAATAAAAACTTAAATAAAATTTTTTTAAATTATGAAGACTCATATTTAATTGTGTGTTAGGATATATATATATAATTGTAATTGTTTGATTCTTATTTAACATTTATGTTGTAAGCATTTGTTTCAACCTTGTATTTATTTTTACTAATTCAAGTATTGTACTTTGTTGGGCGTTTAAAAATTTAAATAAATAAATAAGTAGTGAACTGAATAAAACTTTTTTAAAAACTTTATTGATTGCATCTACTTATGCATATTTCTTAACACAATTAACCAAATATTAATAGTAATGATAGGAAAAAATTACAGTTACAGTTATTCAAAATAGTTACTGTTTGACTAAAAATAACAAGTTGTTAATGAAAAGAAATTGTAATTGTTAATGTAATTTTGTGTTTTATACAAAATTGATTCATTGAGGTGTCAACATTTGCTTTGTGACACGTATAAATATATGACTCAAAAGAATACACAACTATGAGCGTTGATCATACTTAAAAGGCCATAAATCTACAGAGTTAAATGGGATTCAAATATGTTTTTTCATTTTTTATACAAATGATTTATATTTTGAATGATTAATCAAAGTTAGATAATTAATTAGAAATATATTTTTAGATAATTTATAAACAAATTATTTATTATATATGTTTTTTTTCTCTAATTTGGTAAATAATGAAGAGTGATATCAGTTTTTTTCATTATCCACTTAGCCAATTATTTTAAGTAATTCTACGTTTTCATTTAAATTATTTATAAAAATTGAATGTTTTCTTCAATCACTGTCTTTTAATTCATTAATTCAAATTTTGTTTAAAATTTAACATAATTATATTAATCTTAAAGATATTTTTAATCTTTTTGATTGTTTTTCTTTAGTACAATTTATTTATTAAGATGCAAAAAATTTCTCTGAAATGTAATTACCATTCTTGTATTGAAGTAAAATGTGAACAACCATTTTCTTTTTTTATAAAATTTACTTTAATTTTTTTTAAATAGTTAGAAAATTAAAAATTATTAAAATACTGTAGTTTTATCTGTAATTTTCAGAATATAATAAGTTTAAATATAAGTTTTTGAATAAACTAAAATTCAATCAGTTATCATTTTTACTATCATAATTTTTCTTTTGTCACATACAAATTTTAACTTATATTTATACAGTGTAGGTTTTTATTAAATTATATTGAAAATTTTTGCACTACTTGCATATATTTGAAAATTTGAATTACCTACCATTAGTTTTGTATGCAGTTATACAAATTTAAGCATTAAGACTTAGCAATTGTATTTTTCATTTCTAAAATACAGTGTTATTTATTAACTCTCCTACTCGCCCTTATACCCCTCAATTAAAAAAATTGAAAATTTTCTTTTTTTATTATTTGTATAAACATGAAATCTATATTTTTATGTACAAGTAATTTTATTATTCTTAATGAGTGTCCTAAAAGGTTTTTAAGATATTAGAATTTAAAGATTTCGAAAAATGAGGAGAGGGGTAGTGTTAAGAGCAACAATTTATTTTTACCATAACACATAGATGAAAAGTATTCCACATTACACACCTCACTCACCTACAACTAAAAATTATATTAACCCCAAAAACCGCTTTTGTAGTGTAATATCACATTTTATGTTTAAGTCCTATTAAGGATTTTTATTATAGTATTAAAATAAAAAAATTAAATGAAATGTCAATGAAAAATTAATTACACAGTATTAAAATCGTAAAAAACTTTACATTATATCACAAAATGCAATTAATGTGTATAACAAACACTGTTTAATAATATATATACATTCATGTAATGATAATTAAAAAATTAAAAATACCACATATATTTCAATAGAATCACTCAAAATGTATGCTATCCATCGCTATAATTGCTTACATTTAGCGCATAGTTTCTCTGTGTCATTCATGATAAAAATTGAACTGCCAAAATCATGTACGGTGTAACATATCTATGTGTACTTAATTTATGTTATAAGTTTAAAAATTTTTTTTTTATAAAATTGTGTTGTGATGTATAAAGAAACAAATACTTAAAAAAGCCATAGTATAAGTTAGTTTCAATATACTTTATTTTATGGAACCTGAGTTGTTCTTCTACCAGTATATTATGTAACACTTGATAATCTAGGTTTCAGCCATTTTTCTTTAAGTTTAAGCAAGGCACTTAATTTAAAAACATGTCTATGTTAATATTGATATTTAATTGTGTAAAGTAATTAATTAATTAAGTTATTTTGTTTTTAAATGTTATATTTATTAAAAAACTGATTATTTTTAAATAACTCATAAGAAGATTGAAAGCATATTTAGATGTTTTTGTTTAAACATAGTATTTATATTATATTTTCCATAAACTTAAATAATATTTATTAAAGTTTTAAATATTTTTTATAAAAACTGAGTTCATTTAAACTTTCTCTGATATCATCTAAAGCTCTGTGTTTCATAGTTTTCTTAGGTGCCATATCAATGAACTTAGGGTCCCAACGTCTACACATAATAATTTTTTTTATTTTTAAATCTTACAAAAGTATAAAAATAAAATACTAAAATAATTACTTCAAAAGTTCTTTTAAAGTTGATACATCAATTAATCTATAAGACAATTGGTTTTCAAACTTAGGTAAATACTTTCGAATAAAAATTCTGTCCATATAGATAGAATTGCCTGCAAGAGCACATTTTCCTGAAATTTGATTATCATAAATTATAAATTAAATTGATGGCTTTAGTTTTTACAAATTTATTTTAACTACTGTACAGAATAATCAGTTTATCATAAACTATTCAATTACTTGCAAAATAAATACAATAATGAGAAAAAATTTTTCGGTTTTTTTTTTAATTATGTATGATAAAAGTTGATGTATTAGCTATAAATTACTTTTTAGAATCATCCCTAATAACTACTTATAGGGGTGTAAAACTTTAATATTTTCAAAAGGAAATGTATATAATTTACTACTTTCTTTTATTTAATAGAAAATTATGTAATTAAGAAAATAACGGGTTAATAATGATTTTTAGATCAATATTTTGGAGTTATTCTAATTTTATTATCTAGGTGGGAGGAAAAATACAGCCGGTAAATAACTAGTGATAAAAACAGGTGCACTCATCTTTAGCCATCACTTTAAATTGTTAAAAAGTTCTGATATAGTAATCAAAAAGTTATCATCCAATCATTTTCTTAATAACATCATTATCTATTAAATAAACTAGTAAATCATGTACCATTTGAAAAAATAAAGTTTAAGACCCCTGTACTTATAAGGAATGATTTTAAAAAAGTAATTATTAGCTGATAAATCAAGAAATATATGTAATTAAAAAGTAAAAAAAAATTTTTTAGTATTATATATATTTTGAGAGTAATTGAAAAGTTTATGATAAACCTATCCACTCTGTATAGTGTTCAATAAGTAAGAAAAAGAGTTTTCATTGTTTTTATTCATTTTTACAATTAACTCATTTCCTTACGTTTTGAACACTATATAGGATTTTAAGTACCTTTTATAGTAAAGGGATCAATAAAATCATATAATATCTGATCAGCTTGCTCCAATGTAATTTTACTCTTTTTACAACTTTCAGTTAAACCACTCTAAAAGATATTAAATTTATTAAAATTAAAATCTAAAGTAAATTTATGGATTAGTACTCTACTGAAATAATTAAATCCAAAAATATTATGTTATAAATTATATGATAAGACCAATGGTATGCGTAAGTTAGTATTTAAACCAAATAAATTACTTTAAACATATTGTTATAAAATAAAAAATACTTCAAAATTAAGTAAGAAAATTTAGCTAATGATAGAAAGAAGATCAATAGAGATTTGGTTAATTCATTAATTATCATAATTAGTTGGACCCCTTGAACAATATCCAAATATTGTAATTATAATCCTCAACAGAAACCTAACTATAAAGAAGAGCCAAGTTCCAACTTTTCCCTTCTACAGTATTGCCTAAACAAAGTAGTGCTATCTAAAATCTGGCCAAGTTTGCTCTTTCATTTGTATTGCTAATAATTGATCAATTTTTAAATGAGGCATACAAAACTTTTTGTAACAATTCTCAATAAATCCAGGAGAGATGAGAACATTTTTTTTCCAGAGTTTTCTCTTTTTCTTCTCCCATGTAATTTCTAAATGAATATTGAGTCAGTATTTGGCCAAATTTTGAGCAATATGAATAAAGGAGGATTGTTTCATATAAAAATAAATTTCGAAATGTCGTTTTATTACAAATGTAATAATACAAAAAATTGTTTGTGTATTGACCTCCTTGAACTTTTTCCTATTTTACTATTGTCATAACACAATAAGTAACACTGTACTGAAATAGCGCTAAAAGAACACAAAATATAATTAACTTTGAAATATACAAAATAATACTTTATATTAAGCTTATTAATTTTTTAATTTACTGCTTACATAAGTATGCTAGGACTTCCTCATAAAATATACATGTGCTATAAATTATGAGCCCTGCTTATAAATTACCATTTGAAAGACAAAAAAAATTATATATATAAAAGTATTCAAGTTATTATCACCCCATAAAGTACTGATGATTTTAAATAACACACATAGTTGGAAATAAAAATTAAAAATTTTAATCTAAAATCTATAAGTCAAAAATAAAAACTATTTTTTTAAATGTAATTAATTTTACTTTTACAAAAACTCTGTTAAATTCAGGTATAGAAACGGTTGGGATTCATAAAAATATACTTCGGAATATCATTTTAATTTTGTAACATCAATGAATTGATTTTATTATCTATAAACTTATTGATTTATCTTTTACGTTCAAATGGCTGCCGTAGTCAAAAAAATGCTATTTTGGTGTTAAAATTTTCGATTTTATATTTTCAGCTTTCAATTGCTATAACTTTTTTAAAAATTTGATTGAGCTAATTTATAAGTTTAATGCAACTTAATTCATGAATATAATAATATAAAATACAAATTGTGACTTTAAACACTTTGTTTTATAATAGCCACATTTTTTTGCCTAAAATGATGTCATATAATTATTTTTAACCAAAATCCAATGAGTTATTACAGAAGGCCAGAAATTTTCTATTGTGTAAAAAATAAATCCTTTAATTTTACATTATACTTAACATAACCTACCTAACTTGTAGTTACACCTTGTATATATTATACAATTGTAAAAATAATTACCATGGCATGATGATTTTTTGGCCATTCTTCCATATTATCTAAAACTTCATCAGGATGTTTAATTATTATATTTGGTCCTTCAGCTAAAATATTCAATTGACCATCTGTCACTATTACAGCAGCTTCTATTAATGTATGTTTATCAGCATCTAGGCCAGTCATCTATTATGTAAACTTTTTTTTAATGAGGAGTATAATAATTATAATGGGTGACATTTCAAAATGTTATACTAACAACATTGAAAATATTGAATTATACATTACATTTTGAGTTAAATGATTAATCATTTCAAAAGTTCACAAAAAACTTGTGTGTGCAACAGTTCTCTAAATAAACCACACTAAAAAGTTATAATTTTTCAAAATTTCAAATTCAATTAATATGTAATTAATTTGTAGCTTTGATCCCTTTTGCTATAGGAATATCATGTATGTATATTGGACAATATTATAGGTGCCCCTACCTAAAATAATGTCTAGAAAGGTAACTTTTTTAATATAAAAAAGAATAAACTAAGTCACTTATAAACCTCTATTATTAAGACACAGAATTAAGTGCAACTTGTTGAAGTGGAGAGAAGCGTCAGGTGTCTTATGCGATAAAAGAATTCTAATGAGGCTGAAAGGTAAATTCTACAAGACTGTAATAAGGCCAGCTGTGATATATGGTTCAGAGTGTTGAGCGGTTAATAAGTGGTAGAGGAAGACCATAAATGAGATGGAGAGATGCTATTGAATGTGATATGAGGACAGCTGATGTGAGCGTAGATGATGTGGGATATCGTGTCAAGTGGAAGTTTAGGATAAGGATGGCCGACCCCAAGTAGTTGGGATTAAGGCGAGGAAGAAGAAGAAGAAGAAGATATAGATGAATAATAAAAAATAACAATGGAATTCAATTCAACCTGATTATCTCCATCTTTCAGATATGAGGCAACTCTATAAATAATAAAAACCCTAATCTATGAGACTGGAATATAAGAATGAATTAAATACAATTACATAATTTATCTTCTTTTTTCTTACCATCATCCCAACTACACATATATATCCCTTCATCTCATTTTTTGGTCTTCCATCTCTTATTTTTTCAACATTCATTTTCAAAACGGCTCTTACTAGCTACTGATAACTTTTTCCTCATAAAAAGGTCAAACTATCTAAGTTTAATTTATCTTGTCTTAGCTTGGTTGATACTACACCTAAACTCCTTCTTGAATAATTATTAAGAATCTCATTTTTACATAAAGCATGTTTATTTTAGGATAGTAAGTTACTTATTTGAATTTTTAAAATTTAATTCCAATGATTAATACTTAATATTTTTTTTTCTAAGTGTTTATAATATTAAAATAATTTTTTTAATACATCTTTTTTATTTATTCACTAGGTGCTTTAAAATATTGAAAGCAATTAAATTCTTTTGTCACTCTACTAGTCCAAGGTTAAGAAATATTTTTTTTTGGAAAGAACAAAATGGTCTATTTTATAGTGAAATAAAAAAAAAAATTTAATAACTAGTATAAAAATTACCTCTCCATCAAACCATACAATATTATTAGAGCAACGATTTTCCATACTTTTATTTCTAAAAAAAAAAAAAACTGCAGAACAATTCAAATTTTACTAAAATATACTTATAGGTATTGTATACAGAAAAACATCAGCTTTAAATCTGCACAAATGAAACACTTGATTTCTATCTGAAATATTTAAATAAAAATTATGATTAATTTTCCAATATAACTAATTTTTTATCAATATAAATTTTTATGCAAAGTATTAAAGGATTTTAACTAAAATATAATTTTCTTTTAAATATGAAAGGGTTTCTTTTAATTAAAGTAATTTTTAAACTTAAATTAAATTAATTTAAATATATTTTACTAATATTAATATATGTTATAGATTTTTATTTGTTATATAAAATAAAAAAATATATTAAAATTAAAATGTGTTACATATTTAAAAAAAATATTTTAGCTAGTTAGACAGAATAAAAAACACTTATCCATATTAATTAACTAAAAATCAACACAACTTTTCTTTTTACATAAATTTGAAGAAGTAATAGTTTCTTTCAAATTCTTATAAAATTTAGGGTAATTTGAAGTTTGAAAAAATTATTTAAAGAATTTAAACCTCAATATCTTATTAAAAAATCAACTGTAATAAATTATACTAAACCAAAACTGTAATATGTATATATGAATAAAGGAAATTTTTTTAAATATAATCATTTAAAATTTTGACATCTGAGTAAACTGTTTTTTAAACGCAATTATGTATTTGTCCATTTTTTATTTTTTCAAAATGATAAGAAAAATCAAGATATATCAAACAAATGTTTGAGATGCGAATAATATTTGTAAAAGTCTTAAGATTTAGATTTTATATTCAATATTGTATATAAGTAATCATTTTCTTACATTTATTTAAGAAATGAACCATACCAAATAGAGATATATTCATTTGTTAAATTTAAATACGTAACTACCCCTTGAATGTTCTTCAGAACAAGATAGACTGTCCCCAAGTATACAAAATGAATACTGATAACATTTTATACAGCTAATATAGAGAAGTAAATAAATAAATCAGTCGGCTATTTTGAAGTAGGGATATCAGTGTGTTGAAATCGAAAATTTTTAACTATATTAGCTTTTCCAAAATTCAATAATAATTTAAACATAATTTTAAAAACTCATTTAATATTTAATGGGTGTATTGAAGCATATTTAAACAATAAATTATTGGAATAATTCCTTATTTTGATAAAATAAATACATTTTTATTTGTTATGATTACAGTAGAAATGATAACATGGCCTATAGCAAAATGGCTATCAATTATTGTGTACATTAACATGTGTTCAAGGTCTGGATTCGTTGGGAATCTGTTCCCTACTTATTTCCTTTATATGTGTTTATCATTCTGTATGTTGATACGTTTATCATTATAGAATTAAAAAATATATATATCTGTAGAAATTTTTCCAAATGAAGTTAACATATTGTCCTGTAGAGTAATGTAATTTTTTTTATAATCATATCATGTTAATGATAGTGTTTTGAATTAACTTATTGTCTGATATGTAATCTACTAAGTTGTTGATCAATTTTCAATAAATATAATTTAGACATATAATATATATTATTTCAATTCAATAGTTATGGAGTTAAGTCATAGCTTATTATTGAATGAAGATGCATTAAAACAGCTATCAGAAACTAAAAAACCTGTTTTTATATTCGAATGGTTAAGGTTTTTGAATAAATCATTATTAACATCCAAGAAAGTAAAAAAATATGTTTTTATCATTTTTTTTAGATAATACTTAAATATTTTTATGTTTAATAATATTTTCAAAACATTTTTAAGGGCGACATTAAAGATTATCAAAAAAAATTAGTTGAACAGTTGACTAATTTAATACAAGAAAATCCAGGTCCTCCCACTAGAATACTTATTGCTAAATGTTTATCAACATTATTTAATGTTGGTGATACATTCTTACTTTTCGATACTGTCAATAAATGTAATGATATATTAAGAGTTAAGGATGATTCATTAGCTTTTCTTGCCACTAAATTGTAAGTGTAATATGATTAGTTAAGAATTGGATATGTTAAATATTATGTGATATTATGCACTACAATTTTTGAGGTAAAGCTTTAACCTTTAACTAAGGAACTTGTAATTAAATCAAACAAAATTATTCAAAGTGTTGAAAATAATAATTTTATAAATTATTACCATAATAATTATTAATAACACTCTGTTTAAAAGATTAGTTTTTTCAAATCATACTTAAATAAATTTCACTTTTGTTTGATTTAAAATTTTATAAAAGAACTAAATGTTTAAGTTAAGTTTAGTTCAGTGCAAAACCAAATAATTAGTATCTATAAACATTAGTATTGTGTCAAGGTTGTCGATTTGTTTTAAAGACCTCAACAAATTTGTTTGTATCATTTAATATTCAATATTAAATATTTTTATTTTATATTAATAAATTATATTATTATATTTTTTAATAAAACTTAATTTGTACAATAATTAAAAATTTTCAGAGGTGCTATTACTTGTATTGGCCACATGTACAAAAATTTGGGTAGGATGATGGGTCGATCATATGAAGAAACTATTTGTATCTTATTAAAAAATCTTAAACATGCAGAATCACAAATGCGAGTGGAAATAATTACTACATTAGAAAAAGTAAAATAACATTTTTTCTTTTTTTTTTATTAACTAATTACCATAGAAATTTTTGTAGATATGCACAGGTATGGGATGTGTGATGGGGAATATTCACAAAGATATTTATAAAGCAATCAAACATTATTTAACAGACAGAGTAATGGCTGTTCGCTCAGCAACAGCAAAAGTAACTAAAAATATCTATTTATTAGTATATATGTTTAATTTTTTTGATTTTTAGTGTATATTAGAAATGGTGAAATGTTCAAATTTTTTTTATACAGCAGAATTAGAAAATTTAACTAATTTATGTTTTCGAGCATTTGAAAATGCTAATTATGAAGTAAGATGTTCAGTAGCCAAATTATTGGGAACTTTGACTGCTTTTACACAAATTAAATCTAAAGAACAGCATTCATGTAAGTATGCTATATTTTGTTTTTCAATCTTTAAATAATAAATTTCTTGTTTATTTTTAGCATCTACTAGTAAAAATTCCAAAAATATGTCCTTAGATGATGCATTAGGTATTTTAATGAATGGTTTCTTAAGAGGTGGTATGGGATTTTTAAAAGGAACTGGTGAAATTATTAAAGGAACTTCTGGCAGTCATAGAGAAATTAGAGTTGGTGTAACTTATGTAAGTATATTATAAGAATATAAGTTTTTTTAAAAAAATAATTGACTAATATTTTTTAATGTTGCTTCTATATGTTTCTTTTATGTTTGTATTCACTAAAATGAATTTTTTTTTTTTTTTTTATTGTATGAATTCTAAGGTTTTTAATATGTTGTGGAATTGTTTTTTAAGGTTTCTTGAGAGTTGATTGCAGTGGGTGTTGGTGGTGGGGGTGCGACTTTAAATATAATATCACTACTTATAGGTATAAAAAATTGTCAAATTAAATATAATAAAATAAAACACAATACAATTATTATTATTTTAAAGGCCGTGGTAGAAAATAGAAATGAAAATATTAATAATAGCGATTATACTATTATAGCAAACGATAACGACAAGCAGTTAATTCTAAAAATAAATTAGCCAATATAGTAATATACTAATACTTTACTGTGTGGACAACGCTGCTAATTGTCCAAAACCCGTACATAAGATTGCAGCTAAATCATACTCGCACGTATACGATTGGCCGCCTCATTTATAATATACGTTTCAAAATATTGTTTGGACGATGCTGCCGGTCGTCCAAACATTGCTCGTGTGTGTATGAGTACCCGCATATACTGAGAGAAACATCTTAAATGATTGCAAACGACAAATGTATTTTACTATTTAAAAATTTTCATTTTTAATAAAAATGTAGAATTAAAAATATACAATTAATTTTCTTCTTTTAATTAAGTTTAGTAGGGGGTATGATCGTCCCGTCTTCCAAGCCACAATCTGGTTGATTGACCTTTTGAGACTGTTCCTTATTGCATTATATTTGGAGTGTTTCAGAATTCTTTTGTATTAGGTGACTTTGGGTGAATCAAGCTCATTCATAACACTTATCACTTTCTTAAGCTATGAAAATTACATAATCTTTTCTGATGTTGTATATTATTTGATTTGATCATATTTTTGTTGTTAGTTTTATTTCACTCAGTTTTGAGGATTATAATGTTCTAATATTAAGAAATATCTGCTAAATCATAGAAAAATAATTAATTCATTATTATATAATTTGTTAAAATTATCTCACCATCTAAATAATTTTTTTTCTATTATTTCAGTCATATGTGGAATTTGTTCAGACTTTAAAAAATGACTGGTTGGAAAAAAATTTGTTTGCATTCATGCGCCATGTTTTAGACCTAGTTGTTAATCCTAAGTCTGCATCTTCTCATGTTGATGCTATTTATTCTAGAAAATGTGTAAGTTTTATATTACGGAGTACTCTTGGGCAAATGTTAGGTGAAAAAGCTCAATCTTCTGCTTGTAAAGAATTAGCTATAATAGTTAAAAAGCAAATGACTTCAATTGGTAATGCATATTTACACATGACATATTTTAAAAATAAATTATTTTAATTTTACTATGAACAAATTTTCTTTTCAGATTTTAGTCCAGAAAACGCTAAAGAATTTAACCAAGAAACTATTTTTGGTCAACATTTTCTTGTCTGTGCTTTACAAGAAATAGGTTGTTTATTACTTAATATGGGCACAATAGCTGTAAATCTTATATCAGACAATACTTGTAGTAAATATCAACATTGCAATACATTTTTTATTAGTTATTATTAACTAATCCATCATTTATTCATTTGAAACTATAAATTTTTGTATAGACAATTTTTTGTCTAAAACCAACAATTTATTTTTAGAACAACTATAACCCACTAAATTACATACAGAATAAATATATTTAAACATTTTTTTTTTTTTTTTTGTTTATCTTTAGTTACACATTATTCTTGAATTATTAACTATGTAATACTTTTTAAGTTCATCCCTTATGTCTTGTAAGGGTGTCAACTTTGTTTTTTTAAATGGAAACACATATTTTTAATTTAATAAAATGTTTGAGTTTTTAATTTAATAGTAAATGGTATTTGAATTTTTAATATAACTTTATTCGTTTATTAGATATAAACATTTAATGTTTAACATTTTTGAGTTAATATACATGTATAATACACAAGGCAATACAAATACAAGTAGCTAAATGAATTTTATAACATCACTATCACAGTTACGGATTGTTTATTTTATAATAAACAATTTATAGCAGAATAAAGTTATATTAAAAATTCAAATGCCATTAACTATTAAATTAAAAACTCAAACATTTTATTAAATTAAAAATATGTATTTCCACTTAAAAAAACGAAGTTGACACCCTTACAAGGCATAAGGGATGAACTTAAAAAGTATTACATAGTTAATAATTCAAGAATAATGTGTAACTAAAGATAACCAAAAAAAAAAAAAAATGTTTAAATATATTTATTCTGTATGTAATTGAGTAGGTTATAACAAAAAAAATCACTCTGTATATATTTTTTTATAGATGTAATTGAAATAGCTTTGTCTGTTTTGGTTCATCCAAGTCAAGCAGCTCGGTTATCAGCTGCTTGGTGCATACAATGTCTTTGTATTGCTTTACCTAGCCAGTGCACTCTCTTAATTGATCGGTATGTATCTTTTTAAATTTTTAAACTAATAATTTAATCTAAATAATTAAGTTACTTTTTAAATAAAATTTGTATTATAAAAAACTATATCATCATATTATTTTCTCAGGTATGCATCAAAACTATAATATTAATAATTTATAAAAAATAAATTGCTAACAATTATTTTATTTTTGAGAATTTAATCTTTATTTTTCTTAGTATGATTAAAAGAAAAATAATATACAAGGTGATCTACTAACTGTGTCCTATGTTACATCTTTATAAGTATATGATAAAATATAAAATTTTTGTTTCTTAAGTTGTATATTCTACATACTTAGATTATCTTATATAGATAATCTAATCACTTACCTCTAATCCCTCTTCTTTCCATTTAAAACTGTATCATATTTAGTTTTTAAATAAAAACATGCATATTAAATTTGCTTATAAATAAGGAAATGAATAATTGACAACTTTTGAACCATAATTTTAAAAGATTTGTAGACTATGTACACATATTTATTATTTTTTACACTTAAATTATTAAAGATGATAAAATTTAGAATGGGAAAGAGTGTAAAATACTACTTATTAAAGTGTGTAGAATACTAAAAAATTCTGAAGAAAATCTTCTTCTTCTTCTTCCTCGCCTTAATCCCAACTACTTGGGGTCGGCTACTCATATCCTAAACTTCCACTTGACACGATATCCCACATCCTCTACGCTCACATCAGCTGTCCTCATATCACATTCAATAGCATCTCTCCATCTCATTTTTGGTCTTCCTCTACCTCTTCTTTCTTCAACATTCATTTCTTACAGCTTCCGATTCTTCTTTCCTCATAACATGGCTAAACTATCTAAGTTTATTTTCTCTCATTTTATCCACGATTGATACTACACCTATACTTCCTCTTACATATTCATTCCTTATCCTATCTTCTCTAACTGCTCAACACTCTGAATTATACATAATACCTCATCACTACAGTCTTATAAAACTTAAAGCCTCTTGGAAATATTCATATCACATAACACACCAGACACTTCTCTCCACTTCACTAATCTGCACTTAATCTTGTGTCTTATATACTTGTTTTTTTTAACAAATTCAAATGGTGTTTGTATAGTTTTTTTATGTATGAGCACTAATTTCTAAAAAAAAATCAAATAAGGATTAAGAAAATTTGTTAATTTATAAGAAGTAATTTAAAAAAACATGATGAGGCATAACTATTAAGAATCCCATTTTGATATAAAGCATATTTATTTTAGGATAGTAAATTATTCATTTGAATTTTTTAAATTTAATTTGTATGCTTAATACTTAATTATTTTTTTACTAAGTGTTTATATTATAAAAATTATTTTTTTTAATACTTCTTTTTTATTTATTCACTAGGTGCATTGAAAATATTGAAAGCACTAGAGCTACATCTGAAATAATATCAGGATATAGTGCTGTTTTGGTTAGTATACTTGGAAGTGTTAATGTCTCTCCTTTGGGTATTCCTCATATGAAAGGAAAAGTAAGTTTTAATCTAAATTTTTTTTTTTTAATTAATCTCCAAGAATTTTGAATGTGTCCCTTTTAATAACAATTCTTATTTCTCTAATTCATAATAAGATTGTATTAAAGTNTCTTATTTCTCTAATTCATAATAAGATTGTATTAAAGTTCTTTATTTATTCTTCTAAAAACATTTAATAACTTATTTCTTGTAGCTATTTGTTGTAATATCATATGAATGAAAAATTATTGTTGAAATTTTTTTTCTCTATAATGTTTTATAATATGTAATATTATGTAAAATCATATTATGAATTTTACAATTAAATTTTGAATATTATAAGGGAATACTTATACAGAATTTAAATATCTCTTCAATTTTTAGAGGTGTATTAAAAGTAAATTTAAAAATTTTATCAATATACAATAAGTGGAGTAATTTAACATTTTTTCATTTACAATTTGAGAAAATAATTTTTTTGTTCAATTGCTTTTTTAGCTTTGTTAAGAAGCTAAGTATAATTGTTCTATGATGTAATACTATGATTTTTTTTAATTATGTCTATCGCCACTTCATCTCAGCTCTCATCGGATCATAATCTTTCAACAATATTTCAAAAAAACAAATTGTATTTAGTTGAAGGCATTACCCATAATATTAAAAAAAATTTCCCTAGTTTCCTGTAAATAGAGGAAATCCCCCAAAAATGAACAATTTTTTTAAATCAGTAAATTTTGATTTTTTTAAACTGTTTTTCTCAAAACATAAACTTTTTGAAAAATGAACAAATTATAATAACTTTTTTTTATACAAATACTTTAGGTATTTTCCTCTTATTGATATAAATTAAAAAAAAAAGTTTTTAACTTAAATTTTGAAAATGTTTTAGAAATAATGTGAGTGGGTCTGGTGAAAATTTCAAATCTTAAGTCGTAAAACTCTGGGGTCAGCGAGCGTTTTTCTCAAAAATGATCGAAATTTTAAAACGCTTGCTGGCTCACAGCAAAAATTTCCGATCTTCGCCAATAGATTTCTTAGTCCTGTAACCAAGTACTTTTGTTGAAAAAAAATTTTGAAAATCCGAACATTCCAAGTAATCTTTCCAGAAAAGCATTTTTTTTCTTTGTTCTATTATATAATAAGATTTTCAAATTTAATTTCCTGAACTTTTTAAAAATGTATGGTTTAATTCAATTTTTTTATAAGTACTTCATATATATAATTTTGAACAAATATAATTTTTTTTAAATCAGACCAATTTCCCTTATACAGGAAGGGTTAAAAACTTGAAACATATGTATAAAGTGTAGAACTTTTTCAACCTACTTTTAAAAGTGTTCCATAAATACTCCTGACTTTAATCATATGTTTATTTAAAGTTTATGCTATTTACTTTAAGTTAAAAAAAAAATTTGTCATAACACCTTATCTTCTATATATCAACACCATATAATAACAATAAATGTTATTTTGGTATGAAATATTCATTCAATATGCATTTCATACTAAATTTAATTACTATAATATGTATTTATTCTTGTTTTATACTTATAAATCATAAAAATTGTAATCAGGATATGAATAATAAAATAGGAATTAATAATAAAATAGATGTTGCTTTTTAAAAAATTCAATAATTCCTTTCAAAAATCAATTACTACTTACATATATCTACAGATTTGTTTTAAAGTTTTTATGATAGTGATTTTAATCACTGTCAGATATCATCTATACTTCTCCCTAGTGTTCCACTATGTTTTTTCATGTAATATTAGATTATTAATTTTATTATAAATAAGAAAACTTAATAAAATAAAGTAATGAAGAATCCTTTATTTTTTTTAAAAATTTTTGTCTCACTTTACCTAACCTTACTTTATGGAATAATTTTTTAGATTATTTTCAATACTGCAGAAGATTTATTAAGAAGTGCTAGTCAAAATAGCCGCCTATCTTTAAGTAGAACTCAAGCTGGGTGGCTACTTATTGGTGGTGTGATGACATTAGGTAAAGTTTTAGTTGTTATAAAAAATTGATATTGTTAATTCTAATTAAGTATCTAATTATAATTAGACACTTCATAATTATTAATCTTTTTTAAATTTCCTTGAACTATATTTCTGTTTAATCATAACTTATTTAGTACATTTTTAGGCATAAGTGTTGTTCGAGGTCTATTACCTCGTATGCTTCTTTTATGGAGAAACTCATTTCCAAGATCATCTAAAGAACTTGATTCTGAAAAAGCTCGAGGTGATGCATTTACATGGCAGGTTAAAATTATTTAATTAAATAATTAGTAATTATCCATATTACATTCTCAGTGCAAGGATCTCATATATCAAGATTTTTGATGTTTGACATTTTGTTATAATTAGTAAAACATGAAGGGATAACAGTATACTCAAATTTGATTATTTGTTTCTATTATACTTAAATAATTTTATTCAGTAGGGTATTTATATGAGGTCCATGGGGTTCAAACTCCAATCGATATACAATAATTGTAGAAGAGTGAATCTTCCTACTACTCTACATTCTAAAAACTATCTGGATCTCCCTTTAAAAAATCATAAATATGTGACAGATTTTATTAATATTTTGTATTTTCAGCTGACACTGGAAGGTCGTGCTGGNGGGGTTCAAACTCCAATCGATATACAATAATTGTAGAAGAGTGAATCTTCCTACTACTCTACATTCTAAAAACTATCTTGATCTCCCTTTAAAAAATCATAAATATGTGACAGATTTTATTAATATTTTGTATTTTCAGCTGACACTGGAAGGTCGTGCTGGTGCTATGTCATCTATGTATAGTTTTTTGTACAACTGTAATGATTTAGTTACTGNGGTGCTATGTCATCTATATATAGTTTTTTGTACAACTGTAATGATTTAGTTACTGAAGATATTATAAGGAGACTATTAACTCCTATAGAATCTGCATTGGCTATGTTAATAAAGTAACTAAAATTTCATTATATTATTTCAATGTGTCTTCTTTGGTATGTAAAAATGTCAATTTTCTTATGTAATTTTTTCAAGATTTAAAAAATCCTATTTTTATTATTAGTTGACTCTTGATAAAATTTTATTCTTTTATTAAATGAATGAATAAAAAAACAGTAAAATAATTTTTACATATGAAATAGTAACTAATTCCAAAACTGTAACTATGTTTTTCATTTTAAAGTAATTAAATATTATACTGAGATTTATTTTTTAGTATGACATCAGTTGTCAAAAATTGTGGTCAACATTTAAAAGCTCCTATTGCATTGGTAAGGTTACGATTGTATGAAACATTATCACTTATTCCAGCTCAAGATTTTGAAGGTAATGCAAAATTATTTGACTTACAAATTTTAAAATAAAATCAACTTTGATTTTTAAGTTCTATTGAATTTTTAAAAGACATTAAAAATTGATTAACTGTAAAACCATTATTTTTAACTACACAATATTTATTCAAGAATTTTTAACTATTGTATTACATTGTAACAAATTTATTTGGTTTCCTTGAATATATTATTATTAAAGAAATCAGCATTTTAAATTCTGAGATAAGCCTTTTATTGAAATTTGCAATTTATATGTTTAAATGTTTATATGTATAAATGAACATTATTTTTTAATTTAAATAACAACTAATCTATTACTTGCAAATGAAAATTACTAATAAATAATTTTTATAATACAGAGTTCTTAATTAATATATAATAATTTAATTAATTAAATTTATTTTTTTCAAACGTATCTTGTAGCATCATATACACATATTTTAAGACTATTAGTTTCGGAGTTCACATTAGCAGAAAATCCTGCTAATACTGTGACGTCAAAATTAAGATATTTATGTCAAAATGAAGAAAGTGTGCTATTAGGTCTATGTCCCGTACAACACTCCCACCATCAAACAATTGAAGACCAGGTAAAATACATTCAATATCAATATAAAATTATTTAATTATTAATTACATTAATTTTTGACAAAAATAAGATTTTTACAACAAAATATTTTTGATATTGCATTTGTAGTAAATCAAACAGATATTGATGGAAGGGTTTGATTCACTACAATTGAAAAATAAATTATGTAACAAAAACCCCCTTCAATCAGAATGTATAGTTCAAGGGTTTTAAGTAGAAAAATAAAGATTAAAATATAGTAGATACTTGTACTCTTGTTGATACAAATAGACCACCTTTTAATATAGCAGTAAATATCAATATTTCACTTACCGTTATATATCTTGAATATTGATGCAGTTAACTTTAATAAATATGCTTTCACTCAAAATATAGTATCTACTATTTAAACTTTATATTATTATTTTTTTAAATGTAATATGTAGAATATGTATTATAAAAATTGACAACAATTAAATCTTAATAATTAATTTTGTATAATTATCAATTTTTATGGATTAAAATGTGTAATATGTTAATATACTAAAGCAAAATTCCAAATATATAAATTACTACAACACAATTATTATTAGAAGGTATTTTATTTTTTCATTCTTCTAAAAAATGTATATATGTTATGTAGCTAATTTTTTATTGTATTAAAGCCAAAATTAAAAAAAAAAAT